AACTTAGCACACTCACATTCACACCTACAGACAATTTAGAATCAGTTAAGCTCAGCATGTCTTTAGACTGTGGGAGGAAGCCGGAGAACCCTGTGAGAACCCATGCAGCTACAGGGAGAACATGCAAACTCCAGACAGAACACCCCAGGCCCAGATTCAAACTTGGGACCTTCTGGCTGTGAGATGACAGTACTGTTATTAGTGCCACAGGCTGAGCACGAGGCCACTATTGTTATCCTGCGTGTTTTTAGTGCCACGGGCTTGTACAGAGTACAAGTAGGGCCTCAAGGATCACAAATTTACACATTACTTCTCAAATGATTTTGCGCTCATTTTTACTCTAGGAAAATCAAAAATACATCTCTGTAATGCCCAAGGTCTTGGCTTTCTGAAAATGTGCTTGGCTTTTCTCTCTGACACACGGTTTTGACAAAAATGGCGGTTGTTTGAGGTCTTCTCCTTCTGGTTTCTTCTACTGATTTGACAGTTAAACCAAGTATCTGTCGCAGCTGTGTGCTTCGTTGCCCGGCAACACTCTAACCCAACTCCCAACCCCCCATCTCCCATTGAAAACGAATGGGACGGACGGAAAAACACACAAAATTACACTACTTTTCAAATCTCCACTGCTCAGCCATACTTTCACCTAGAGACTCCATTTCAACTTTAAAATGTTGATCCACCCTTCCTCTGTTTCAAAACGTTTCTACTTTTTTCATATCTTCAACCGTTTCTTCGTGACAACCTCTCAAGTTTTGAAACTTTTTCACCCCTTTTCAGCCTTTACAATGGGTGTGTATGTGGTCCTTTAGAGTGAGTGATGACATCACTAGAGTGGGAGCTCAGAGAAAAATCACACAGTAAACTTTTTTTTAACTTGTCGCCCTGGCCACAGTTTTTATGCCACAGACATCATTTTTACATCAAAACATAGGAAAATTTGTCCTCCCTCTCACAATATCACTTTGGAAGCCCACAGAATTAAGTTTGGGGGGGTTTTGGAGCCTTGTTCCTCCAAAAGTCTCTCATCCCTCCCCATCTGCACCCATTCACCGCTTAATCCTCACTAGGGTCGCGGGGGGGCTGGAGTCTATCCCAGCTGACTCAGGGTGAAGGCAGGGGCCACCCTGGACAGGTCACCAGTCTATCACAGGGCTACACTTAGAGACAGACAACCAAGCACACTCACATTCACAC